ATGACTATGCGACCGTCCCCTTTCTTGCGGAAGTTTTTAAGGTGCTTTCCATTCCTTGAAGCAATGTGATTTTTTTTACTTTTTGTATCATTAATCTATATCTGAATACATATTTGTAGCTTTTAGTGTCAAGTATGTTTCTGTGGAAGGAGAGCCAGAAATCTCCTCCTCCGAAAATGACTACTGATTGGAGGACTGTTCGTTTATATCCGATACCTTCAATTATATATCTGATCCACAACAATGTTCAATTTGCTACCCTGACGTATGTAGATACATCCACATACCAGATAATGGGGAATTTGAAGATTGTCACGACTGGAATTTTGTTCAGGTGATGCTCTACCAAATACAAATGACTGTTACATCAATGCATATCATTTCTTGGATTCTTATTCTCACATAAGAGCAGATATTTCTATTTCCTGATTTAGGCTAGTCCTAAAGAGGAAGCTATCCAACTTGCAGTGGATGGCTATTATTCTGTTGGCAGTTGGGACGACCACAAGCCAGGTATTGCATTTGAAAAGAAAGACACTTCTACATTTATTCAAATCTGGCTTATGGGCTTGTTACTAATTATGGGAATTTCATGGAAATAAAATACTCTTGGAGATGTCTTCGGCGATCAGTAAGATAGATGAGAAATGGAGGGAAGAGTGATAAGAATAGTCATATTACAGATAATTATGATTTCCTGACTAAAGGCTAGACCTATCTTGGCATCACTGATAATGGAAGGGTGGAAAAACTAGTTGTGAACACAGACTGAAATGGATGTAATTTCTAATATGAAGAGCAAGAAATAAAAAATAACCGGTTCCAGGCGGCAGAGAGGTTGAACAAGGGCCCAGCAACATTGCTGTAAAGCCAGGAAGGGAACATGAATTCACGAGCAGCAAAATTGTTTCTCTAATTTGGCTGCCTGCCCATATTATATACAAGAGTGCTCAGCTAACTAACAGAGAGTTAATATAGGTATTAGGCCACTGATAGAGGAATGATGTGCCTGAACCTAACACCAGAATTAAAAAATCAAACTAGGTTCAACTAGCCAACACTATGAATTTTCTGGAGTATGGTTGCTGCTGGAATCACCTACATCAGAAAAATGCAATCTTTCGAAACATTAGGATCAGATGCGATGATATCACAGTAATAATACATAGACAAACACAATGACACATCTCATTGGTTTCATGCTTATCTTTGCATTTGAAGTTATAATCTGTTTATCTTTGCATTTCATTGTAGTATTTTTTAATCAGAATCGGTTTAGTTTAGTTATTTTATGTGGTTCCTATGGGAAATAGAGGATCCAGTGGTTAGAGAATTGTTGGCTTCTTAGCCTCCTACGCTTTCTCTGCGGGCTTCATTAATCTCCCTTTTCCCAAATTAATAATTAATTATTGATATTTTTTAATAAATTTTAATAGGGTTTTTTTTTTTTTTCTTCTTCTTTTTGTATTTTTTCATTTATTCAGGTAAAAGGATGTGGAGAGTCTTCATGTGAATCTCTTCTCTCATCACCAATTGAAGGATACATGTTAGGGATTCTTTCTGCCTGTCTTTCGGCATTAGCAGGCATTTATACAGAATTCTTGATGAAGAAAAATAATGATTCTTTATACTGGCAGAATGTTCAGTTATACACGTAGGTATCCATTCTTTTATGTTTATCAGGTTGCTTACTCTTAGTTGTCTTTTAACCTGCTGTTTTATTTTCAAAATGAAGAATATGATTTTCTTCCAAGAATTAAGTTTATGTTCATTTTTTCTCATAAGCGGATTTAGAAGACCAATGGCTCCTTGTAGTGCTTAAAGAAGTCATCAGTTTTTCAACTTTATTCGTGTGATTAGAATGCATTAACATTAGAATCATTTGGATTGTGGTCTTCCAGGTTTGGGTCTATTTTTAATATGGCACGACTTGTCGTGGATGATTTTAGAGGTGGATTTGAGAACGGTCCATGGTGGCAACGTATATTCAACGGATACAGTATTACTACCTGGATGGTGGTTATTAATCTTGGGTCTACTGGGCTTTTGGTTTCATGGCTGATGAAATATGCCGATAATATTGTTAAGGTACCTGTTTTATCTTTTCGTTAAAGGCTTCGTGTTATATACTTCGCTAGCCATCATTGTGCTTCATATCTTGTAATACTCATGGTTCGTTTTGTTCAATTATCTAGGTGTATTCTACTTCAATGGCAATGCTTCTGACGACTGTCTTATCTGTGCATCTGTTTAACTTCAGACCGACACTGCAGGTGAACTCAGATGCCTATGAAACTGGTTTATAAATTTCCTTTGTTTCACGCTCTTCTTGCCATATAGCTGCTACATCTTGAGCCATCATGTTCATAGTGTAGTTATCTAATGTTTGATTTAAGGTAAATTATTACGCAAATTGCAAAAAACAGTTTTCAAATTTGTGACTGCGTGTATGTTTCCCACAAAAAAAAAAAAAAAAAAAAAAAAAAAAAAAAAAAAAAAAA